TGGGGACAGGGATGGGGACAGGGTGACAGACCCCTGGGGACAGGGATGGGGACAGGGATGGGGACAGGGTGACAGACCCCTGGGGACAGGGATGGGGACAGGGTGACAGAGACCCCTGGGGACAGGGACCCCTGGGGACAGGGACCCCTGGGGACACCACGGGTGACAAAACCCCCTTGGGGCCAAACCGGGACCTGCCAGGGGCCATTTCTGGGGCTGCTTTCTGGGGACATCTGGGGACATCTGGGGCCAGTTGGGGACATCTGGGGCCATCTCTGGGGCCATCTGGGGACAGTTGGGGACATCTGGGGACCCGGGGGTTACCGTGGGGCGCTGGGGGCCCGGGGGGGGCTCGGCCTCGCTCTCCTTGGGCAGGTGAAAGCGGAGCGTGATGGGCCCCGGCCCCGCTGGCCCCGCTGGCCCCGCTGGCCCTGGTGGCCCCGCCGGTGGCCCCGGTGGCCCCGGTGGCCCTGGCAAACTCTTCCCGCTGGCGGGGGCCACCGGCAGCGCCAGCTCCAGGCTCTTCCTCTGCGCCGGGAGGAAGAGGAGGCGTTTAGGGGGGGGAGGGGGACGCGGAGGGGACACAGAGGGGACGCGGTGACAAAGCCACCGCGGCTGGGGGTCCCTCCCGTCACCCCCCGGGTCCCCTCCCCAGGGACAGCGGTGGCCCCAAGGGCTCCTAAAGGGGTTGGGGGTGGCCTCGAGGGGTCAGGGATGTCCCCAGGGTGCCCTGACAGGTCAGGGATGTCCCCAAGGTGCCCTGACAGGTCAGGGATGTCCCCAGGGTGCCCCCAGAGGGGTCAGGGATGTCCCCAAGGTGCCCTCAGAGGGGTCAGGGATGTCCCCAGGGTGCCCTGAGGGGTCAGGGATGTCCCCAAGGTCCCTTAAAGGGGTTGGAAATGTCTCAGGGTCCCGGAGAGGGGTCAGGGATGTCCCCAAGGGGTCAGAGATGTCCCCAAGGGGTCAGAGATGTCCCCAAGCTCCCCGTAGAGGGGCTGGGGATGTCCCCAAGGTGTTGAGGACGGCCCCGAGGTCCCCAGAGAGGGACTGGGGATGCCCCAAGGTCCCCTAAAGGAGTCACAGGTGTCCCCAGGGGGTCGAGGGTGTCCCCAAGGTCCCTCAAAGGGGTCAGAAGTGTCCCCAGGGTCCTCTAAAAGGGCCGGGAATGTCCCCAAGGGTCCGGGGTGGCCCCTGGGTAGCTGTTGGGGGCTCCTGGGTTTGTCCCTTAGGTCTGGGTGTCACCACCCCCCAAGGGTGTCCCCAGGTGTCCCCAGGGATGTCCCTGCCCCCGAGGGGGTTTGGGGACCCCAGGTCTGTCCCCAAGGGCTCCAAGTGTCCCCTGTCCCCAGCCTGGTGTGTGGCCCCTGTCCTCTGTGTCCCCTCAGCGCTGGCCCTGCTCTGTCCCCAAGGCTGTCCCCGATCCTCGCCCTGTCACCTGCACCTGGTGTCCCCAAACTCCGTCCCTCGCTGTCCCTCAGCTGTGTCCCCTGTCCCACCCCCAGGGCCACCCCCTGCCCTCCGTCCCCTCCTCAGCCTCGCCTGCTCTCCTGTCCCCACGATGTCCCCTGGGCCCATCTCGCTGTCCCCTCCATGTCACCCGTCCTCGCGGTGTTTCTTGTCACCTGTCTCCACCTGACACCCCAAAATCCCCTTTTCCCCGGTGTCCCCTGTCCCCCCAGTGTCCCCCTCCTGTGTCCCCAGTGTCTCTCCTGTGTCCCCAGTGTCCCCCTCCTGTGTCCCGTGTCCTCCTCCTGTGTCCCCAGCATCCTTCCCATGTCTCCTGTGTCCCCTTTGTCCCTCTCGTGTCCCTGGTGGCCGTCCCAATGTCCCTCCCATATCCCCTGTCCCCCTCCTGTGTCCCTGGTGTCCTCCTCCTGTGTCCCCAGTGTCCCCCTCCTGTGTCCCCAGTGTCCCTCCCCTGTCCCGTCCTCCTGTGTCACCACTGTCCCCCTCCCGTGTCCCCAGTGTCCCCCTCCCGTGTCCCCTGTTCCCCTCCCATGTCCCCAGTGTCCTCCTCCTGTGTCCCCAATGTCCCTCCCATGTTCCCTGTCCCCCTCCCGTGTCCCCGCCGTGTCCCCAGTGTCCCCTCACCGGGTCCCTGTCGGGGGATCCGGGCCGGGAGCCGGGCAGGCCGTTCTTGGTGGGGGTCTTGGCCTCTTTTCGGGGCACCTGGACCCTCTTGAGGTCCAGCCGGTCGTGGGTCACCCACTCGTCCAGGCGTTTGTTGACTGGGGACAGCGGGGGACACACGATGGCACCCCCGGGCTGCCCCCACAGCCCCCGCCCCGTGTCCCCAACCCAGCCCTGGGGACACACAGGGTGACAACGACACCCCAACGTCCACCCGCGACCCCTCGTGACCCCCTGTGGCCTGGCCGTGTCCCCACCCCGTTCTTGGGGACGCTGTGGGGACACCCCGGGGGGTGACAGCGGGGTGCTGGCTCCCCCCAAAACCCCTCCCTGTGCCCCCAGCCCGGCCTTGGGGACCCCAGGGGGGGTTGTCCCCGTGTCCCCCCCGTGTCCCCCCGTGTCCCCCCCGTGTCCCCCCCCGTGTCCCCACTCACAGTCGATGTAGTGGACATAGAACAGCTTCCTCCCACTGATGTCCTTCACACTCAGGATCTCGGCCAGTGCTGGGACAAGGGTGAGGGGGGGTCACCACCCCCTTCTGGAGACCCCCCAAAACCCACCCAAAGACCCCCAAATTCCCCCCAAGGAGCTCCCCCTCAGCCTGGGCTGTGCCCCAAAGCCCCCCTCCCCATGTCCCCCCTCATGTCCCC